CAACCTGAATATCCTGTAAGCATTTAACCCTGAAGCGACCCGTGGCAGGACCTGTGGCACATACTTCTTAAGCTATGCTGACATCAACTTTGTTGCATTTGCACCGGCTCTGCACGGTTAGGCGTGACCGCTGGAGCGGTTACCGAACCGTTCCACTATTGGCTGGAACTGCTTCTGGAACACCATTGGGTAATCACATGTTGGAGCGCTATGATTGGATGAAGGCACATGACATTAGTGATTACGCCACACTTACGAGAAGGCAACAAGAGGAACAACAGAGAGATAGTGTTTAGAGAGACATGTTAGACAGTTTTGGTTAGCACTAATTTACTCACTTCGGTATTTGGCTCTTACTCAACAAGCCCAAAACCAATATGTTAACAGCCGCAACTCAACTCTACCTGGAGCACCGAGCCTGGAGCGCCTGATCAGGAACGCCCACGAATGATGACTACGAAGAGAGCTAAATCCTCCTAGAAAATGAGAACTGTTTTCACTGGGAGTACAGCATGCGCATGACCTTGGCGAGGAAGGGGCTTCTGGCGCATGTTCAAGAGGTCAAGCACGAGAGCGAGATAACCGAGGCAGGATCGGCTGGCCGGGTGGCTGATCAACAGTGGTGCGACGTCGCACATGACCCCGCACATGGAGGACCTGATCGAGTACAAGGGTCTGGACGCTGGTATCAACGTGGCGATTGCAGACGGCTTCGAATACGTGTGCTTGTACGTGGACGACATGATCATTGCGGCAAAGACACGAGAGGAGATCCGTGAAGTCAAGGACGCATTGAAGAACACCTTCAAGATGAAGAAGCTTGGCGAGGCCAAATTCATCCTGGGTATGGAGATCAACCACGACACGTAAGCTGGAACGCTTACGATCAAGCAACCTCGATACATTGACGACGTTGCGGAGCGCTTCAATCAGCAGAGCGCTAAGGATGTGGAGAGCCCGTGCGCATGAAACGTAAAGTACTCGAAGGATATGTCGCCAACGACGGAAGTGGAACGCCTTAAGATGCAGTCGAAGCCGTACCGTTACTTAGTCGGGTGTCTGATGTACATCACAACATGCACTCGGCCGGTTATTGCGTACGTAGTGACACAGCTGCCTCGTTTCCTCGAGGACCTGGGCGACAACACTGGAAGGCGGCAATTCAAGTTCTTCGCTACTTGAAGACTACGCGTGAGCATGGTATTGTATACCAAGGCCGTTCCGGGAACGCCTTGGCTTAAGCGTACACCGACGCGGACTGGGGCTCCAACATCGACGACAGGCGTTCCGTATCCGGTGTCATAATTATGATCAGGAACGCCCCTGTGGTGTTCAAGTCGAAATTTCAAAGGTCGGTTCCACTCGTCTCGGCAGAAGCAGAGTACATGTCTTTGAGTCTGTGCACGCAAGAGGTGCTGTGGACACGTACGATGCTCAAGGACATGGGTCACGAGCAAGTGGGAGCGACGCAGATATGGGAGGACAAATAAGGTGCTATTGCACTGGCAAGTAACGCCGGATACCACGCAAGGACCAAGCACGTCGACATCCGTCACCACTTTACTCGTGAGAACGTGGAACGCGCAACAGTCAAGGTGGACTATATCGAGACGAAGTTCCAACTGGCCGACATGCTGACGAAGGCACTTGGGACGAAGGCCCTGGCGTTCCAGCGCGATGCGACCGGCATTAAGAGCAAGGCTACCGTGCCGTAGTGGTGAGTGGGATTGTTGCAGTTGCACCGGCTCTGCACGGTTAGGCGTGACCGCTGGAGCGGTTACCGAACCGTTCCACTATTGACTGAAACTGCTTCTGGAACACCATTGGGTAATCACATGTTGGAGCGCTATGATTGGGTGAAGGCACATGACATTAGTGATTACGCCACACTTACGAGAAACAACAAGAGGAACAACAGAGAGATAGTGGTTAAAGAGACATGTTAGGCAGTTTTGGTTAGCACTAATTTACTCACTTCGGTATTTGCCTCCTTCTCAAAAAGCCCCAAACCAATAAACTTGGGCATCACTAATATAAACGACGGATAACACTTCAGCTACTAGCTCCGGTACTCAGGTATCTTAATAATACCGCAGTTGTAGCTGCTCTACTCACCTATTTTCATATTTAGGTGCTCCTCGTACTCAGCGTTGTGAAGCCTTTGCAAGTTCCACAACACTATCTGAGTTTGAATACATACACGTTGCGGACGATTTAGTTACAAGAAGTTGATTGCTCTGGCTAGGTCTATTGATCGAGCTGACAAACGGTATACACCCTTCTAGCACAGGCCGCTGCGGTACAATATTAGACAGCTCGTATAGTGAGAAAGAAATATAAGGCTCAGTATTAGATAACAGCTTGTTATGCTAGTATGTGAAATCAATCATCTTAAGGAAGGTGGGTTTTCATAAAGCATCAGGACTGTCTACCGCGTAGGACCAGGTTCTAAATGATAATGCTTCTGGAAGTTTTCCTCAGCAAATTTGTTGTTACAATCCAACGATTTACACAGTTTACTTGTGTACGCACTTGTTTTTAATAAAGCAGGCGAGAATCGAGAGCGGACCACAAACATGTGTAATGCCTCGGGGACCAACGAATTAAAGGCTATCTCGATAAAATGAGTATGTATTCTTTTATGATTCACTTCAAAATTCTCATAATCAAGTTTACGAACTGCTGATGCGATGGTATCTACCTCCCTAAAGGCCTTCCTCACGTACATGTACCGACAAAAGTCTTGCTCGTCTGCGCGCTCATTAATGTTTTTGCTACACCAGTCCCGAAGCATCGTACGATTTCACAACAAATACGTCACAGTTATGCGCATCGAGCTGCTGTTCTTTCATGTCCGCGCACTTCCCCCGAAGTAAGATCCCGTTGTTTTCTTTGCACACCTTGTTGAGGAATGCGTATCCTTGACGCTGTTGCTGAGGATAACAACAAATATTCTTATTTTCTTAATGTCGAAAGCTGCATGCACACCAATGATTAGAATTGTAGCTCACAGCACTCACCATATTGGCGATTTCATTTCGAAACAGCTGTCTATCAACAAACTGCGGATGACGAGATTGCGTTTCTACTCCGAACATTAAGGGGTCAGTACGCTCATCATTTTGTGAGATAGTGATCATCGCTTCGCCTGCAATAGGTCAAAAACATAGGTAGTCCCGCAGAAAGCATATAAGTCAACTGCTGTGGCGGGTACACCATATATGGTCCTTTTAGCGCTAGAAGCAATCCTCCGCTGTGATTTCACCAGCAAGAATTCTGCTACCAACGGCCGTTCCGATGCGCTTAGCTGGATTCCGTATGCTTTTGCTAAAGCTGTATAATTATCGATCAGAAGCAACCGCAACAATTTGCATTATCAGTATTCTGGATGGAACTACAGTGTCTTCTATTTCGGTGTATAACTGTAATGGTGAAGTGAAACGTATCAAGTCGGTAAACAGGATGAGTCCAAAGCACTTCGATACCTTTTAAATGGGGATGCCCTCCTCAGGAAAACCATCACCTCCAGCTTCTAACAGTCCTGTTACCACCCAACTTGAAGCAATTTTCACGACACTTAGTTTCTGATATTGAAATTCGAGGATAGAAGACCCGCTGCCCCCCCCCCCCTGGGATTTCAATTTCTTCACATGCCTTCATCTATTCGAAATCGTGGCGGGCTCCTGATTTTGCTATCTGAAATTGCTCCAAATTTATCATACGCGTCTCTCGATATGGTGCAACTCTGTGCCGTAATAGGAGATGAGCTGCATATTTTTCTTCTTCTCCAAGGAGGTGGTCGGTGCGTGCAATAGCACACTAAATGCCGCTCTCAATATCTGCCAATGCCAAACCCTTGCTAGCTAATAATGTCCCTGGACCGAAATACCCAAAGGTCGCAGATGAGTTTGGACACCGTTGGTGAAGCTTCAGCTATTGATGCTCTCCAGCCATATCAGAGACAACATCTCGACTTTTTTTAAATTTCAAATAGTTCTAATTATTTCCTCGTCGAGTTCTACCGGCTTCAATATTAGTACTCCTCTACGTGTTGCCACCCCCCTCTGAAATATCGCTATTTGCCCACTGAGCCGGTTTAGAGTTTATCCAATACTGCGTGTTGACCATCTGAAAGTTAAAATAGTCTATCTTCATCATTTGAAAACTGCTGAAACTCATGTAGAAAACACACAAATTTAAATATTGGTTAAACCAATATATCAGCAGCTTGGGTTTTTCTGTGAAGCCTAAATTATGTTGATCGGATTTTAATGTTGCGGGATGCTGAGCCGAAAAATGAAACTATTAATAATATTATTGTAAAGTTTGTACAGATCCAATTGAAATGTACGTTTTTCGTTGCTCTAATAACGGAGAAATCAACGAACGGCTTCATTGAATGCATTAATTTGTTTAAGTAGTATTATTTATCGAGCAAACGTTTACTTGTTTCCATTCGACAACACTATTGTAGCTTCAATCGATCTTTATCCACTGCGACAAAGATTTCGTTCTTATAACAGGCGTACATCCGCGACAGCTTGGCATTAGTCTCACTCAGCGACTTACCAAGCGATACCAGCTCCATGATATACCTCCGACGCTATTTAGCCTCGACGTTACTGCAATGATTACACAAGATGATTTGCAGTCTCCATTTGTAATTATCAACGGCGCTGTCGTGTTGCATGATGAACCATCACCTTCGAATCGTGTCAACGCAGCGTTGTCGTCGCTGCCTTGAACTCCGTTATGCGCAGCATAGAATTACACAACGTTCTTCTTCTGTAGTACTGAAAACGATACAGTGCTTAACCGGTGTATCCTGTGGTGGAGCATTCAGTAACATGTGCTTAACGAGTTTGAAAGAGAAGCAATTTGAGAAATGAGAGGAGACTAGGTCACGATAAAATAAAATAGTCATTTTGAAAATGTGTGAATTTTCTTATCATCGAAGACCTTGGGCCAGATTCAGCAATGATCACGCCGCATGCACTGAATTAATTGTCGCCTGAAAGCAACGAGTAGATCTTCTCTGCAACAGTCTTCAGTGATTCTCGCTCAGGAATGTCGTGTGCTGACCCCATCGACATACTACATCGCTCGACTTTATCGCCCAAGCTTTTGCTAAAGAGCCATACCTTGAAATCCGTGACTATACTGAAAACCTCCGTCAACTCTTCGACATCCGCAAGTATTTCGCCCCCTAGATAAGCCTGTGCAAGCCCCTTCTGAGAATCCTGTCGTTTGGCCAGGACGACACCAACGCAAGTACTTCCGCCCTCAATGAAAAAGTCAAAATGTCCTTCTCCCTGTACTCGATTCCCAACAACCGTTTTATCAGTGTGAAGTCTGTTTGTATCTTTCCCCGTAAGCATCCACCCAAACGGTCTGATCGCGATAAGGAGATATGCGTAGAGTACGTCGATCTTGTCTTCCGCGATGGCCTTCGACGGTTGCTTGTAGCAACTCGTCCCCATAATCTTCTCACAATCCTCAAAAGAAATAAACGAGTCACCGCTGGATGCCACAGTTGGGGTGTCCTCACAATAGCTAGACATCTCTTTCTTGTTGCGCGCGAGAAGTTTATTCAGTTTTTCCCAGCGTAGTATGCGAGTAGGGTGGAGTCCTCGGTAGATATCTGGCGTAGCTATGTTGTCACCTGTCGTCACCCCCTTGCAGTCGTACGAGTCACACGCGGTCTCCATATCATCGGTCTCGTCAGCATCAGCGAGTCTTGGCTTCTTATTTTTATCGAGAAGTTCGTTCAGTTTCTTCCATCTATCCAGACGAGCTGGGTGGGGTACATATGGAGTCACAACCAGAACGTGAACCACGTTCTCTCCCAGTGAGACGTTTGGCCCAAAGAGAAAAGGATTCTCCAGCTTGCACAAATCGCTCAGCTCTATAAAGGACGTGTCAAGTTCTCGTCGTAAAGCTGCGTCGTCTTGCAACCACGCATTATTTTTCTTCGCAAGAAAAAGCTGCAGATCCTTGGCATCGCATGTGATCGCCTCTGGGCTATGAGACTTGATCGCGTCTTTTAGCTGGCCCACCGACATGCTCGTTTCAATAGCGACAGAGAATACGCTTCCTTCTCCAACTGGCGCACAGAACAGTGTTACCGCTACCATCTTTCCTCGAGGTGGCAGATTCTCCAATCAATATCTTGAAGAATTTCTTTTTCAATGGGGGTGGTCACTATCCTTCAAATCGGAGATCTACGGTAATGTGAGTACAAACTACAAGGAACATATCACTGTTTCATACAGTACCGTAGTAGCAAAACGTTGCATCTTAAGTACACTTCGACATGAATTATTTAGGCGTCTAAGTTACTTGAGGTTGTTCCTCTTGGTTTCGACGAGGATTCTTAATGGATATCTTGGGTTGTAGTTTTGTTCTTGTAGCTGACAAGAGTCGAGCTTGTGTTGTCATGTTTTGAGTCTGGTTAGTGGCGTACATGTTCCGAGCTTGTAAAGTGCCTCGAGCGTGAGCGAAGCGTTGTTGTTCATGACGTACAAGAGCTCGCAGCGTCTCATCTTCTTCGCGATTGCGTCGTCTGGCGTCCTCCTTGGCTCGTGCGTATAAGCTATTTCTCTCCTTGTCTTCGTCTTGTCTAGCGCGTCTTTGACGTTCACGATAGTCGGCATTCATACGATGTTCCTGCGCACGGACGTTCTCCATGGTGATCGACTCAACTTGGTGTGTGTTCTGTCGGTTCTTGGCCTGTCGCTCAAAGCCACACTTGAGCTGGTCAAAGTGGTTCTCTTCCAGCATATTCTTCGCAGCACCAAGGAATCTTCGTCGCGTAGTCAGCTCCTCGGACTCCGAGCGAAGCTTCTCGGTCTGCTGAGTGCGTTCATCTCGTTGCCGCTTAAGCTTCTCTGCCAGCTCGAAATTATTCTTCCGACGTATTGCTTGCTCCTCCATCTCTCGTGCTGCAGCTAGAGCTTTCTTCTTGCTACGAGCTGCAGCATTTGCACTTGCTGTCGCTCGACGTCGACGTGCAGCACTCGTCGCCTTGTCGAGCAGATCTGCACTCTTCTCCTGCTTGTCAGTCAGGATAGTGTCGCGTCGAGATTCTTCCCAGCGCTTCTGGTCTTCAGAACGTACGCGAAGACGTTCACGAAGCTCAGCCAATGACATTTCTTCCAGCAGACCAAGCTGCGCTGTCTCCGTGGGGTCGAACACAGCGACGTGTTCGCGATGAACTTTGTCTAGAGCTCGAATCTGACGGATCAAGTCTTCGCGTGCTGCTCGCTCCTTGGCATCTTGCTGAGCTTTACGGTCTCTTTCAGTAGCCAGGAACTCCAGCAAGGCATCACGTTGTCGTGCGTTTTCTTCTCGAACCTGCGCCTCGGCTTCTCGCGGTGCAGTGTCACGTACACGCTTGACGTCTTCAGTAAGATGTCGGTACTTTGCTACCAACTCGTTCTCTTCTTTTTCACGCTCGACAGCTCGCGTATTCGCCTGTGTCTTCATCTCGATGGCCACCTCTCGATTCTCCAGTTTGGCTTGGCGCGCAGCCTCCATGGCGTCAAATTGCGCTTGAACCATCTCGAGTCGACGAGTCTCCACCTCACGACGATAGTTCTCTTCGTCCTGCTGCTGCATATTGGCTTGCCAGCGGTAGAACTCGAGGGGATCACGCAGCTCCGACTCGTACGCGCGGATTACAGCTGCTTCATGCTCTTGCTTGCGTTTAAACAAGGCATCTTCACGCAAGATAACGGCCGCTGTAAGCTTCACTTCGGCTGCGGATGTATTGGTATGAGGAACAGGTTTGGCCTTAAAGTCGAAGTGCAGAGCTGCGTCTCGCTCGCGCTCTATTTGTTCCCGTACTGCCTCGAGGTTGCTGCCGCGAGCTGCAGTTGCGAACTGAAATTCGTCGGCAGAGTCGTATTTACTCGCCACTTGAGCCTTCATTCGCTCCTTTCGAGCCTCCTGTTGAGCCTGGAGCTCTGCTAGTGAGAGCTTATTTAAGGATGCAGGCACTGGGTTTGCCTTGACCTCGCGGGGAATACGGATGGGTTCAGCAGCTTTTCGAGGCTTCGGCTGAGTAATGTTAGGCGCCACAGGTACAGTTAACTTCTTGCTTGACGTCGAACATGCAGTGACATCAGGGGAAGCAGCTCTTCCGAAGGCTTTAGTACGGAGTTGGCTCAACAGCTTGTCGATCTCTGGCTTAAAACTCAGCATTTTGTCAATAATTTGTGTCTCAACGAAGTCGGTATCAAGCACACGAGTCCATTGGTCATGCAACGTTCCTTTAAGTTCCTCTGGATTAAAAAGATACGATAGAAACGTGTGCATACTTGTAGGCTGCAGTGCCAGAGCCAAACCTGCAAACGCAGTGGTACCTAGCTCTTCGAGACGAAACATGGCTAGATACCCCATGATGAGAAACTTGGTGTAGTCGGTACGACTTACTTGACCGGAATGAGAGTCGAGAAACAGCGAGAGCATGGGTCGTAATAACTCTCGATAACGATAAGACCCGTACAGAACCTGCTGGAGGAACTGTTGATCGCTCGTTGATGATAATCCTCCAAGTTCTTCTGTCGCATGGGCGTCGACGGTGGTCTTTGCAGGGTCAAATGACTTGATCAGCTCTTCGCAAAGGGATAGCAACTCCTTTCGCTTCATACTGCGTTGAAGTCTTCCACGATGAATTATACTAGGTCAGCCAAGCTACTCCTAGAAGCGGCCGTCCGATAAACAGATAGCTAAATATGGATATAATCGCCCCCCTGTGCGCGCCACCACTAACCTTTATTTACCCTCAAAATCTCATCACGTTTTAATGAAAGCAGGTCTTTAGTCTTTTGAACTTACTTTTTTCCTTAAGTCGACAAACGAGATCTTTCAAGAGATTCACTTTAGAATCTGCGCAAGATGGTAGCTGTAACACTGATCTGTGAGCCAGCTGGAGAAGGAAGCGTATTCTCTGTCGCTATTGGTACGAACAAGTCGGTGGGCCAGCTAATAGACGCGATCAAGTCTCATCGCTTAGAGGCGATCACATGCGATACCAAGGATCTGCAGCTTTTTCTTGCGAAGAAAAATAATGCGTGGTTGCAAGACGACGCAGCTTTACGACGAGAACTTGACACGTCCTTTATGGAGCTGAGCGATTTGTGTAAGCTGGAGAATCATTTTCTCTTTGGGCCAAACGTCTCACTGGGAGAGAACGTGGTTCACGTTCTGGTTGTGACTCCATATGTACCCCACCCAGCTCGTCTGGAGAGATGGAAGAAACTAAACAAACTTCTCGATAAAAATAAGAAGCCAAGACTCGCTAATGCTGACGAGACCGATGATATGGAGACCACGTGTGACTCGTACGACAGCGAGAAAGTGACGACAGGTGACAACATAGCTACTCCAGATATCTACCGAGGACTCCACCCTACTCGCATACTACGCTGGGAAAAACTGAATAAACTTCTCGCGCGCAACAAGAAGGCGATGGATAACTATTGTGAGGACACCCCCAAGGTGGCATCCAGCGGTGACTCGTTTGTTTCTTTTGAGGATTGTGAGAAGATTATGGGGACGAGCAGCTATAATCAACCGTTGAAGGTCATCGCGGACGACAAGATCGACGTACTCAACGCATATCTCCTTGTCGCGACCAGAACGTTGGGTGGATGCTTACGGGGAAAGACAAGCTCTGGATTACACAACTGTGTGTAGGGCGGTTGCTTCACTATTGGTTTTACATATACAGAGTCAGTAAGGAGCTTAACATGTGTCAGTAAGGAGCTTAAGATACTCTCAAAGTGCCAGAAAAACGTGTTTTTCAATGTGATCGTGTTGGAGCGTCAGCGTCGTTGACATCGACGAACAGATCCAGTGTCATCAGGGAGAATCTGGTACGTACTACTCGTTGGCCCACTGTGTCAAGTGGACACAGGTCACAGTGCGATGAACACGGGCGACAGAGTGGCTCCAGCACTAGCGACATCAACGGGATCGACGTGGGTATTTCGACGTGAGCGATGAGAAGGCTTGGACAGGCGGCTCGGGCAAAGGGGACTCCGTCTGCATGTAGTGTCAGTTAGTTTTGCATTTTAAAGACCCACCAGCTCAATCACTTTCCAAAACACCACGACGAGTACAAGCGCCTTTCCGCCTCTCCGCAACCCTCCTTCCTCCAAGTGTCAACTTCCGACAGGTTATGACGTCCGCAACTACGGCCACGGCGTTCGCGACGAAGCTGAAGCAGTTCAGCAGTACTGGGTTCCCAGCGTGGGGCGCCCAGGTGAAGCTGGTCCTCGAGATCAAGGGACTCTGGGCTGACGTCGAGAAGGATGCGCCACCGGCTGACAGGCTTGCAGCGGAGGCTGAAGCGCTAAAGGTGTACGATGCGGCTGTCGCCGCTGGAACGTCCGGGACGGTGGCTCCGAGAACACCACTACATGAACAAGTCATGCGGCTGATGATGGCGTCATCGATCATCCTGTCGGCGCTGACGGAGAAACTGGCAGCGGAGGTGTATCTGTTTGATCACCCGCTGGCCGTGCTGCGCCACCTGCGGCTGACCTACAACGTGAAGTGTAGTGCCAGCGTCGGTGCTGCGAAACGAGAGTACATGAGTCTGTACCTCGCTGATGGTGACTCCATGACGGAGCACATCAAGACCACTAAGAGGGTGATTGGGGACCTCCAAGAGCAGCGTGTGTACTTGGCGGACGAAGAGAAGCGCCAGAACTTTATGCAGAGTCTGGGACCTGCGTGGAACGGGTTTGTCGGCGTTCTCGAGATGTGCCAGACATTCGAGGCGATGGTGACGCGGTGCCAAGCTGAGGCAAGTCGAGACCAGCAAAAGAATCGTCGCTCGACGAATGGCAGTGGTAAGTCGAATGCATCGAATGGAGCCTTCTCTGCTGAGCAAGTGGCTGGCAAGAAGAGAAGAATAAACGTGACATGACCAAGGTCAAGTGTTACAACTGCCAAGAAATGGGGCACTTCGCGCGAGACTGCTCGAAGGAGCGAGTGCCACCGAAGGGCAAGGGCGGCGAGGCCGCTAGTGTGGCGTTCTCGGTCCACGACGTGACCGACGAGTGCAAGCGAGAGTGGATCGTGGACAGCGGGGCCACGAGCCATATGACAGGACATGCTGACAACTTGGTGGGGGCGCGTGAGCTGGCAGAGCCTCGTGTGCTCACAGTTGCGTCCGGTGACAGCTTGGTGGCGACCGCCATGGGGCAAGTACCACTGCACAAGAACGGGAAAGAGGTATGCGTCCTCCAAGATGCCCTTTTTGTGAAGGGACTAGCCCGCAACCTCGTGTCTGTTGGGGCGGCATCGCGTCGCGGGATGACGGTGGAGTTTAAGGGAGTTGGTTGCGCTATTCGCGCGTCGAATGGAGTGACCATACAAACATCAAGAGCACTCAACCAAATGTACGTGCTGGATGCTGCCAGCAAGCCCGTCGAAGATGTCGCGATGATGACGAGCGAAGCGCCTCATGTGGAGACGTGGCATCGCCGCTTTGGACACTTAAATGTGCAAAGTGTTCAACAGCTACTGGGAGAGCTGAAAGTTTCATGGAAAGGTGCTGTAAAGCAAGCGCGCCCAACGTGCGTGAGTGGCACCGTTGTATTCTACGAAGACCAGTTCCTTCCTGCCGAAGATGGAGACGAGATCACGATAAGCTCGCAGCTGGATCTCTTGCAGTTGGATGCGGTTAACGGCACGCTTTTATCACGTCTCGAGACAGTTGAAGAAGAAAAGCAAGATGTGTCCATGGCCCTGACACCCGGTGAGGAGGACGTGGCAATGGCGCCGACACCGAGCGCAGTAAGCAGCAATTTGGAAACACCGGATCAACCAACAAGTGGGAGTTCTCAACCAGTGGGAGCCGCTCGTATGCAAGCCCGGCTTCGAGGTGATCCACGCCTAGAGAAGGCAAAGAATCCTGTTCGCAAGTCCAGCAGAATCCCGAGGCCAAGTCAGCACAAGCTGGACTACGACGAGTCGCACTTGTCCATGGAGGAGGTCTGCGCGATGGTTGAAAAGCGTGTTTTTCCTGCAGCAGTTGATGGTACGAGTGTTCGAGACGGCTACATCTACAGCAAGCTAACACCAAGTGACATTACGAATTGGGCTCTAGGTGTTGAACCGCTCAACATTGAAGAAGTCAACGCGTCTAACGATCGAAGCGAGTGGGAGCGTGCAATGGACGACGAGATTCAGAGTCTTCTGGACAATGGGACGTTCGAAGAAGTACCATTGCCTCCAGGCCGCACTGCTGTGAGGTCAAAATGGGTGTTCAAAAAGAAAACTCTTGCGGATGGCAGCTTGGACAAGTACAAAGCACGTGTCGTCGCTAAGGGGTACAGCCAGCGGTTCGGAGTGGACTACACTGAGACGTTCAGCCCGGTCGTGCGCCACAGCACGCTTCGTCTTGTGCTGGTCATTGTGGTGGCGAGACGCATGAAGCGCATGCAGCTGGATGTGAAGGCCGCGTTCCTCAACTCAGCCTTGGACGAAGAGATCTACCTGGAACCAGCTGAAGGCTACAAGAATGCTGATGAACACGTATGGCGTCTGCGCAAGGCACTCTACGGGCTAAAGCAAGCGTCATGATCCTGGTACGAGAACCTGCGTCTCTTTCTGGAGAGTCAAGGCTTCTATCAAGGAGAAGCCGACTACTGTCTGTTCTCGAAGGGCAGCGCGGATGACGACAATCTGATGATAATACTCGTTTACGTTGACGACATGTTGGTGTTCGCAACGCACGATGAGGACCTGGCCTCGTTCAAGGCTGCTATGGAAACGGCATACGACGTGAACGACTTCGAGGATGCCAGCTACTTCCTTGGATTGGAGCTGCAGTGGTCACCAAGTGGTGACGAAGTGATATCGGGCAGCAGAAGTATGCGAAGTCGATCCTCGAGCGGTTCAACATGGATAAAACGATGCCAGCACGCACTCCGATGGAGGAACGTTTTCGTGATCAACTCTATAAGGCGCAGGAGGTGATCAACTTTCGTCTCCGTCCTGCCATCGGAGCGCTGCTATATCTGACGGTAAACACGAGACCGGATATGGCTACTGCGGTGCAGGTTCTTGCTCAAGAGATCGAGACTCCGACCGACTGCCTCAAGCACGGTGTGGAGCACGTCTTTCGGTACCTGCGCAACACTCAAGATTTTGGGCTGGTATACAAGAGCAGTGCTGTAAAAGAACTCGCTGTATACTGCGACGCTGCATTCGCAGTGGAGCGCAATGCTAAGTCGGCGACGGGGTACGCTATCTTCTACGACGGCTGCCTGATCGAGTGGGGATCGAAGAAGCAGTCGATGGTGACGCTGTATTTCACCGAGACTGAGTACATTGCGATGGGGAGCGGTGTCCAGGAGTGTATTGGGATCAACTTGGTCTTGAAGGATTTGGGAATGGGAGTTGACCAGATCACTGTGTTCGAAGACAACCAAGGGGCCCAACACCTGGCGGAGAGCAAGACCGTGACGCAAGGCTCGCGCCACATCGACACGAAGTATCACTGGCTTCGTGAGAAGGTTAAGGAGGACCACATTCGCATCGAGTACTGCCCCACTGCGGAGATGATCGCCGACCACTTCACCAAGGCTCTGGGAGCAACCAAGTTCCAGTACTATTGTGACCGTCTTGCCGTT